TAATTTTTATAAATGGTTATATGGAATTGTTATAGTTTGTTCAATTATTGTTGATTTCTATATTCTTATATACATAGATCATACTTAAATATTATGGTATACTTTCGATAATCATAAAATATACATTTTCATTAAATAATTTGTATTTTGTAAAATAATTTTATCATATATATTAGTTAGCGAAAATTGTATTTACCTATTTGATAGAGTTTTGTTCTCTGAGCTGAATGGTTTGGTCGTGAGGCTTTCATCATTCTTGTGAATGACATCATCAGCACAAACTTCGGTTAGAAGTAAAGTGTTCGAATTTCTTCAAATATGGTTCATGAATTGTTTTATAGACTTCGATATTGCTTGGTTATTGTTGACATTAGAGAAGTTTCAAAAACTTTAAAACTCACATCAATCAGCAATCAACAAACACATTGAAATCGATTCAATTTATTAAATAATCGGAAAAATTATGGACAAATATAGGACCAAAAATTAAATCAACTGGAGATACAATCACAAGGTCAACAATAATCAATTAACATCGATGTGAGGCTTATGTGTAGAAATTCGAACATTTCACTTTTACCTGAAATTTGTGCTGATGATTTCGTTCATTAGAATGATGAAACCTCCACGAACAAACCATTCAGGTTAGAGAACAAAATTCTATCAAAATCATCCATCTAAGCTACAAATCTTTTCCATCATGTATTCACCCAGAAAAACATTGGTATTTTTAATTCTTATATATTCTAAATTTATAATGAGACGTATAAAATAGTGTACTGGAATATTTTTACTAACAAGAGAGAAAAGTTATTTTACACTTGAATTCGATTATTTATAAGGTATCATAGTCTTAGTGAGGTTTATACTCCTTAGTGGTTAAAAATGATCGAACGTATAATTGGTAGCTAAATGCCGGAGGTTATAACCGTTTCGGTTTTGGAAACCGAATACCATACACAAATGCGTATATAATTATTGAGTTACATTACTGTTGTTAGTGTATATTATTAGAAAATAGTCATTTTTTCATAAGTGACTTGTCAGGTTTGGTTGCTTGTATAGAATAATTAACAATATACTTCAAAAGAACAGTCTAAAATTCAAATGACAAATAAAGGCCGGTTAACCTATTACAGTTGTATATATATACATATATATATATTTAAAAACTTTAAAAAATATCTCCTCTAAGTGTGCTCATAATGCATTATATATATACTGTTAAACTATAGTAAACTATTAGTGAGTCACGATCAATTGAAGTCCTGGACAGAAATAAAGATAAATCATAAACCTTAACCAATACGTTCATAACTTTTGAACATATTTTAGTTATCTGAGCTCGGCAGCTCCATCAATAACGTTGTTTAACGTTTGGAATGAAAGATTCTATGGTTGAGTTCTCTTGCAGACAGTAACACATAGTAAAGAGATAACCCATTAAAAGCTGTCTAAGTAATGTCACATATGTATCATTTGCCTTAATGTACTAATATTTAATGAACTATATTCGCTTGTTGTATGTTAATTTCCAGAGGTTCATTGAACAAGTATTGGTTAAATAAAAGACTTGTTTGGAAGATTTTACATAAAATGTTTTATATTTGATTAATAAATATGGATTGAAAGGTTCAGATCTATGCTGAACATGAGGAATGCAATCTAACATGTAATGTCATTGAAATTATTAGTTGTATTTCAAGCGTTATGGGATTGTATGACACTAAGCAATGTACAGGATACTTGAACATAAAGATACATGAACTAAAATTTAAATAAATACAGGTTTGTACACTGTCAGTTACCTATAAATTAAAATAGTTGCTAAGGTACCTTGCATTATCAAAATTTATTTACCAGAACATATATACTGTATTCAATTTACAAATGGTATACAGATATTTGTACGAGTCTAATTGGTTATTTTCTTAATGTGGTAATAGCTAAATAATTATAGAACTTATTATTCACGAAGATTTCTCATGAAAGAATATAATATTTTCATCTTAACCCGGGGGCATCTGGCATAACATTGATAAATTAAAGTGATTGATTAGCGCATTAAACTTTTGTTCTGTAAATAATTTTGAATCATGATGTTTGCAAATATGAACACTATTTTTAAGGATAAATAATAATGAAAGACAGTATTGGGGCCCAATATCTGACTTCTATTATGTCTGTGGATGCCTCCAACTCTACTAACTGATCAGTAACGATTGCTTTCATCTTATCTATTCGTCCACGTGCATAACTGCACGATGCATCATTCATTACCCATAAACATTGATATATTCCTATCGCAATGTATACCAAAAATATTATATAACTGGGGTCAAATTCAAGACCACTTAAGTGGTGAGCCCGTTGACAATATCGCACGATCTAAATTGAGTCAGATCACAAGTGACAAAGACAGTATTTGCTAATTTTAGTTCTGGAGTAATATTCTGTGAATTAATAGCATAATTTACAATTCCATCCAATTTATAGCCTTACACTTTTTATTTAATTACCTATATTCGGAATATTTCTGAAAATTATATTGTCCGAAATTACGCATAGATGGCAATAAAAGACTTTTCTATTTCCACTTATGATATCCATATTTTTAGGATATATACCTTGAGTTATTGATGGTGATGTAATATTTAAATATCATCCTCATACGTTTAAAGATTTTATTGTGGTTTCAACAATTTACGTCTTGTGTCAGTGCTACACTTTCAAATGGAATACCGGTGATTTTAATTAAGACATAGATTAATTTGAGTGTTTTGGCCCAGAAGAACCAACTAATAGAATATCTAAGAGCTTTAAAAAGAGCCATCAATAAATTTTTAACTTAAGAACTCGAATGAATGTATCATCTCAATCCATAATGCAACAAATTCGTTTTAACCAGTTATAAGGCGAGACTATAATTTATGGACGAACCAATCAGGTGTAAGATAACAGGTCTCGGATTTTTGTGCGACATTTACTCATCCATCAACTGTGAATCATAATTCTAATTCCTCACACAGGTTCATAACCCTCATCTGGTCCTTGTTAATAATTGGACACTCAAGGTCAGTCTAGCGTCTCTCACAGATCTTTCATAAATTATAGTCTCATCCAGTTATAATACATGTGCCTAAATTTTCTATTATTACTTCATTATCATTTTCTGTTGAATATGAATAGTATACTGTTGTAATGGAATCTTTTTTAACTTCATTTATGTACTGTGAAACAAACACATTCTAATTTAACATTAGAAATTACCATAATTTACAACTGCAATTTGATTTTAACTCTCGTGATCTCATGTGACAATCAGAAATTGTTTTTCGAAAAGCAGTCAAACATTTAAAGGTAAATAACCGTATCTCTTATGATTTCATTATTGCTTAAAAAATATAGAACGAAAATGCTTTTATCGTTAACGTTCTATTCTTTTTATTCTCAATATCAATCACATATCTAATGTAGTTATATACGTAAATGTAAATCACATGAAAAAGCGAAATGTATACATGGTTTGAACAGATTTGGAAATGAATAAATAAATGATTACCGATTTTCAATGTTATTGTAGTAAATAAAAGCACCAAATGATTTATGTGGTATAAACTATGTAATACATTTTCAATGTTGATATATAATTAACACTATTGAACTAAGATTCCATATCTAACTGGTTGTATCGAGGATGATTGGCTATTTTTTAAAATTTAATAATAATGGTTTAGGGCTGAACTATTAAACTGACAGATTGTATCGCCTTGTTTATTTATTTACTGTTAATTAAATTCGCACATCTTATTGTCTGGTAGTCCTTTACACTGGATGGATGTTTTGCTAAAGATTTACACTAACTTATTCTGTTCGGCTAATATTTTCTAACTGGGTCTTTACTTTTGATAAACTTATAACCATAGATATCTGATCACGTGAATCACACGTTATCTGTTTCTTAACTATTGAGACATTTGTAAAATAGTATCGTAAAAGAAGAGGGAATCGTTGAAGCTTTCAGTAAATGAGTTTTAAATGTCAAAACAATTTAAAATAACAAAAAGACTATGTGCCATCATTAGTGATTCATATTAGTCACCATACCTTACATATGTCATTGATTTAAATCACTACATATATTTGTCTACATTTAATTGACTATGTCAATCTCCTTTGAAATCTTAGACAACTTGATTTATGATAAGAAATTATAGATTCTGTTTTTAAAGCAGTCAAATATACCATAGTGCTATGGTTGCTTTATGCTGTATAATAATAAATCCATGTTAATCAAATGTTAACAAGCTAATTCCTATAGGGCTTTCAATATTTGACGAATTAAGGTGGGCGGGTACCGAATTGGCATTGAGAGCCTGGTAATTATTAGTTCAAGGTGTAAGCTTTTTTAAATCCTACGTTCATCACTAGTTTCAACCATGTTAACAAGTCAATTATCTTTTATGAGGAGGCGTTTGTGGAGAAATTCAACTAATTGAAATCATGAGTCAATTGGAGATAGTCCACCATGGAAAACCTCGCTCTCCAAGGCCGTTTCGTCTTAGTATGGGACTCCTCAGCAGTGCGCATCTACGATCCCGCACCCCGCGAGATTCAAACCCAGGGCCTATCAGTCTCGCGCCAAGCGCTTAACCAACTAGATCACTGAGCCGGTTGGCATCCAACGGTGTTAATGTCTAGCTTTAACCAATCCACGAAGTTGCGCCACCGTACACCATTGTAATCAATGAGTTGATATCTCACAACAGACCTGGTTGAACTTCACTGGTAACAGCTCCTCATTAGAACTCCAGGAATGTCTCTTGAAGTCAGTCACTAGTGAGCAGATTTTCCATGGTGGTCTAGCTTCAATTGACTCATGATTTCAATCAATTATCTTTTCTGAAGAAATGAATAAAGGGTGTATTTCTAATTAAAAATAATACATAAGCAATAAGATAACTTATTAAAACATTTAAGGATAAGATAAATTCACTTACTTAATCTCTTTCGACTGTAATTGATTCTAGAGGCTGATTCTGTTGATGAAAAATTATGGAAATATAAAATTCAATTAAGAATATCAAATATTTAACATAATATTGATAATTCAAATCAATTTTACATTGTCTTAGCAACAATCTTTTTTTTTATATTTTACAAAATAACCATGATAATGTGTAAAGTTTGACTTTAGCCGAACAGTAAAAGTTTTAATTTGAGTTAAATTACCTAAATTAATTTTCTTCATGTGGATTGAATTTCATATCTGTTTAGTTTAGTAAATTTATGCTTATCCAACATGTTACTGATTAATTTAAGCTAAATAAAATTATCTTCATTAGAAAATTAGACATATATATATTATTACTACAAGTAAATGTAGAGATATAGAGTTATGTGTTCATTAGATGTGAATTCCTTGTTCACAAATGTACCTTTGAAAAAAAACGATTGATATATTATGTGATTACATATCTTTAAACAAAATTAAATTATGTGTCCCTTTAAAAATTCTTAGAGATTTACTATTATTATGTGCTGACAAAATTCAATTCACTTTTGAAAGTGAATACTTTCGTCAGATTGTTGGGGTTGCTATGGGTAGTCCGCTAGGACCATTATTAGCAGATGTGTTCATCGCACGTGTTGAAAATATGGTTGATGACTTAGTCGAAAACATGTCACTTTATAAGAGTAATGTGGACGATATCTTAGTTGTTTGTGAAAGAAATGAGGATATGTACTGTTTATTAAATAAACTTAACACTCTCCAAAACCATATTAGTCTCTCATGTGAAGAGAAGAATGATCAGCTTCCCTTCCTAGATATACTTCTGAGTAGACGAGAAAATGGCCCAGTCAAACTATCCATTTTTAGAAAACCAACATGGACAGGTCAATACCTTAGTTAATATAATTATTGCCCAGTGCAATACAAACGTGGTTTCATAAGGTGACTATTCAATAGGCTTGATCGTATTTGTAAAAATGATGCCATTTATGATGATGTTAAGTTGCTAAATAAAACATTAATGGAAAAATGGCTATCCTCTGAAATTCATAAATAGATGGAAAGTCCATGGTACACTGATCCCTACTGTGGCCTTGGTAGGAAAGAAGTCTTTTTACATCACCTTACCATTCAGAGGTGATTCAAATAGCCTTTTATTGAAACAGAGGCTTAAATGAGTCACCAATAAAACGTATTACGCAGCAAAGGTCATTATCAAAGAAAGAACAAGGTGCATGCTTCATCCAAAACCTAAAAGACATGAAAACGATTGTGTCACATCCCCCTGTGTTTACCAATTTAAATATGTGTGTGATCACACACACATAGGGAGGAGCAATCGTGATCTCAAAATTAGGGGGTGTGAACATATACCAAAATTGACAGATAATTCCCATTTAAACATTAAAATTAAAACACGAAGTTCAGCGAAGGGATCTCTTTACAACGAATTTATTATCAAGCTGTACAATCAAGTGACCCAATAAGAGTAGAAGATAAACATGCATCATCCTCTATTGTTAAACATATAATCGAAACAGGTCACAAGATTGATCTAAATTCAGCTTTTGTAGTGCTGTATAAAAGTGTAAAAGGGCGTATACTAAGGTTTATTGAAGCCTTAGCCATATGAAAATTCAAACCCCCTTTGTGTATTCTAAAGCAGATTGTTCTCACCTTAAACCTACCCTGGTAATATTAGCTTATCATTCAGAGTGATTAGGTTTCAAATTGTGTTCACATTATTATTACTCTTATTATTACCTTGTCTCCTCTTTCCCCATCTCCAGTCTAGTTGACCTTTTAATTTTATATATAAATGCCCTTAACAAGTATATGTGTGATCAGATTGTTCGAAATGTACTGCGCTAACATATCACATAGTTCTGATAATCTTCGTCTTCTTATCACATTATCGAAATTTATCAATGGGACTAATTGTCTTACATAGAGGGTTTAATTAAACATTTGGGACAGATTGTCGTTAAATAAAATAATTTAACTTGTCAACCCGATAAATTTTGAGATAATTTGTTCCATACTTGAACTATTTAATAAAATTTTAAATTCGACTTAAGATTGTTTAAATTATCTGGTTGTTGATATTTTTGACTACATTTTGATCAATATTGCTGAGACGAAACACGCGTTCGAGATTCCACTGATATCTATATTTCATTTGTTCTATATAAACTTGAATCATGTTTACTATTTCAAGGCAATCCATAATGGCGGAATATATACCAACCAAGGCTGATCAAATTTTGGTCACAAATATCAACAACTTGATAATTTAGACAATTTCAAATTTAATTGAATCACATACTCGTAGAATGAGTGAGAGTCTACTTGGACTCCGTTGGTGAGTGAATAATGCGACGGTGTGACGGTCTAAAAGTAAACTCTGAGATATAGGTACATCGATGAATTCAAAATAGTAAGAAATACACATTCTGAATTCCATTTCCAGATACATCCTATCTATTCTTTGTAAAATATTTAGGTTCATGGTACTTATTCTAGAGCAAATTTTGATGGAACTTAATGGAGTGAATCAATTTATTGGTTGTCATGATGTAAGATCCACATAATCTTCCTTTTTTTGTTTTGTCGTTAAATACCTTTGAAATCTGATTTAAAAATTAGTTTAAATAACTTGTGATGTATAAGCGCAAACCTATTGTTAATGGTTCCGAGAATAATGACAAGAAAATCGTATTTAAATAAAATTAGAGAGATCCAGGCAAATGGGTGACTTCTAAAGGGATTTAACTACTCCTACTTACGCTATTGTACAAAATAGTCTTTTATTTTTATGAACTTTACTTTACTTTAGTATATGTATTCTTATTAACTCTAAAGAACAGAAGTTAGAGCTTCTTAACTTTTCATATCTATTTAGCACAGAATGAATTTATTCATAAATTAAAATTGTTACTTTCGTTACCGAAAATGCTGTTTATGTGATTTTAAATTGATTTTCAGTCTATAGGATACTCAAATGACAACTAAAATATTCACGAATCGGTTGGATTAATTATGGGAATATTACTTATTAATTTATTGATCCCAGAACTGTGAGTGACTAGACCGCTCCTAGAAACAAGGTTGAGATGAGAAATTGTTTTTAGGATATGAAATATTTAAATGATACATCCTTAGACATAGTATCTAATTCTATTAAATATAAACGCACTAAACAAAAGATGCACGTTGTAATAATCTCTTGTGGCTCATAGAAAAATCAATAGAGTTCAATAATGTAGACAAAACATGACTTTTAACACCAATGTAATTCTTACATGTTGGTATTCAATGCTGAAATCATACATAACTTTGAGATTGGCACCATACAGTTGTGGATGGCTCCGGAATACTCAAAGTGGATTATATCCTAGTGCCTGTCAATATAAATAATGAAATCCAAGACTGTTTTACCGAAACATGTTCTGGATTCTTAAAACAGCTGAGAACGCTGTTAGTACAGTTAAATTCTCTGTTTTGGATGATTAAATACTATAGTTTTCATACTTCTTCTAGAGGACATTATTAACACAAATTTCAGTTAGTAGTGAGTTATTAGAATTGCTCTACAGATGGATTGTTTTGCCAATATTAATATTCATGAGAATGCAACTCTATGAAAATAATCCTTTTCAGCCATAGATATTCACTAGCTAAAACTGTTCATAGCTCAGACGTTTATTACTTATCATTACGTATGCTAACAAATTTACAGTCGTTTTAAATGACTGGATATTCGTATTGCTCGCGGTCAGCCAGAAAAAAACTTATGATGATAATAAAAGACTGACATATCCTTGGATCAATAGGTAAGTAATATGCCTCAATAATCATACATTTGCTAATTACACTTTAGAACATCTTGAATATCTTCAAATTAAAATGTTCAGTAAACTGTAACTATGCAAACCTATTCTATTTCGAAAGGTTAACATTAAGTTTGTTAACATTTTAATAGTTGAGATCATGAGTCAATTGAAGCTAGATCACCATGGAAAACCTGGAAGCACTGATAGGTCATGGGTCTGAATCTTGAGAGGTGGGATCGTGGATAGGCACTGCTGAGGAGTCCCATAATTGTACGAAATGGCCATCCAGTGCTTTCAGGTTTTCTATGGTTGTCTAGGTTCATTTGATTCATGATCTCAACTAGTAAAAGTGTTAACATTTCTTAAAATATGAACTAAATGATAAATATGTGGTGTTAAAATAGTAATAAAGTTTAAAATACATACTTAACACATATTTGAGCATTTAATTATAATTGTTATCTATGTACAACAGAAACAAGTGTACACATTCTCCGATGTAAAATACTAAATTAAAATGCCGACGCGTTTGATGTTTATTATATATATTTATGTCATTTTTTTATTTGTTAAATGAATTGTACAGACTGAGAGCAATACAAAATACTGGTTAGATAATTATTATGCTAGTTTGTACCCGCCTTTGATCTTCACGTTGTCAAAATCTAATAATCATATATTTTCAAGTGATACCGTGAAAAGTCAATATTTTTTGCTCAGGTTTCTCATACAAATACATCTTCATTCAATTAGCCATTCTGAACTTTCTTAGAACTACTACGAATGGAAATATACCAATCACTTAAAAGTGTCTATTTCTAACACATTTATTCGTTTTGTTCTTCAGATTAAGTATTTTGTACTAAAATATGTCTATCACAAATAGGATTAATATTGTGACGATGAATTACTAGTTATGAGTGCAAATCACAAACAAAATCCTGTTCATCTCAGTCATAATATATATATATATATATATATATATATATATATATATATATATATATATATATATATATATATATATATATATATATATATATATATATATATATATACTGGACCAGTACTGTTAAAAGTCAGCTCATAGTTCCTAAATTTATTATCTGTATGGGGTTGTTGAAATTGTTGAGTTTTTTTTATCGAGATCAAGAGTCAATGAATGTTAGATCACCAGTAAGAACCTGGAAGTACTGGGTGGCCATTTCATCTTAGCATGGGACTACTCAGTAGTGCGTATTCACGATCCCGCAGTCATGATTCGAGCCCAGTGCATTAGATCTCGCGCGCAAGCGCTCAACCTCTGAACCATTGAACTGGCATCCAACGATGTTACTGTCTAACTGAGCACTGCTAAGAAGTCCCAAACTAGGACGAAACGGCCGTCCAGTACTTCCATGTTTTTAAGAATGGTCTAACATTCATCGATTCATGATCTCGGCCAAAAACTAAATTTATTTTTGCTAACAGTGAAAGTTCATAAAGATCTCTTTTAAAAAAAATCTATCTATGAAATCATAACGTGAAATAAGATTATTTTTAAAAGCTTATAATTTTAAGGACAAGTTGATCAGCCTAATGATTAATAACTGATAGCAATAGGTCAGCAATTTCAATTAGTAATAATTATCGACAATTATATAAAAAAAGAATTTAAAAAATCGTTTAGAAAAAAAACTATTCATCATTAGAAAATTTGTCTCATCCATATTGATTTCGTCAACTAATCATATAATTACAATGATTTGTAACAGTTTACTAATAAAAATATCCATTGAGATATACATTCATTCAAATTTATTGATTTTAACCAGTAAAAAATCTATGACGTAACTTACCGTTTACAATTACATGGTAACTAATCATTTGTGATGTTCTTCCCATAAGCATACATGTATAAATATCTGAATCGGTTGGTGTTACAAAGTCAATAATTAAATCCCATCGACGACGTTTCCAATTATTTTTAAAATTATATTTATCTAAATAATTTTGATAAGATAACTTATTTCCTTTTAATATAGATTTTTCATTGTATTCTTTGAAATATTTTGTTTTCATATTAAAACGATTAGTTTCATTGTTGAAATAATTTTCATCACTAATATTTAAACGAAATCTAGAATCTTGCATGAAACTAACTGTAGATACAAATAAAGGATTTTGTCCTTTCTCCCAGATAATTGTCTATAAAAATAAAAAGTGAAATATTGTAAATAAATTTTGTCCGCGTAAAGTGTAATACACAGTAAAATAGTTAAGGTAAGTTCAAGTGAGTAACATATTAGGAAGATTTAATAGTTTAATTCATGAGTCAATTGAAGCTAGTCCGTCGTGGAAAACCTGGAAGCACTGGACGGCCGTTTCGTTTTAGTACGGGATTCTTCATCAATTCGCATCCAGGATTCCGATTCGTGAGACTCGAACCCAGGACATATCGGTCTCGCGCCAGGCGCTTAACTAACCAAACCACTGAGCCAGTTGGCATCCAACGGTGTTAATGTCTAACTTCAACCAATCCATGAAGTTTCTTCACCGTCCACTATTGCTATCAGTGAGTTACTATTTCACAACAGACCCGGTTGACTCATGGATTCATCTATTAAATTACTATAATATCCACAAAACCCTTCTCTGAATATTAAGAAAAGCTAAAATAAAATGCTCAGGAGAATGGATAAGACGACCAATTTAAAATAAAGATTGTGTAAGCCCTTTTTTTTCATGGTTTCTTGACAGAGTGTGAAAAAATTTATTATAACATTTATTTTAAAAATGCATTATTTAGTTTAATTGATTATTAAAAACGGTCGGCTTTATATATAAGATGATCCTCGAACTTTTTAATTATTTAGGTATTGTTTTTGGATCAACAAATTGTAATAAATATAATCTAATCTGGTTGGAGTTTTTTTAGCAAGATTTTTTTCTACTGAATGGGGTTCCCGACCCCATGCTCAATCCTCCTCCTTTACCCGGGCTTGAGACCGGCAGTAATTCTAGAAGAGCTACAGGCAGAGTTTGTAATAAATACATTTACCTACATTTTAAGTTAAGCGTTTATTGTTACTAAGTATTATTATTACAGATTACTAATTTTTAACAAACAGTAACGTCAACTATAGAACTGTCAGTAATCCAAAATATCAACGCAGTTTTTCCCTCTAGCTAGAAAATTTTTAGTATACTCGTCGAGGATCTTTAGATATTACAGCTCTCGTGATACTAATCAAACATTCAATAGAACCATACTGATCTGAATTTTAAAATTGATCGTTATTCAATCTATATTTTGCAAATGCTAGATTCATCTAAGGTGTGTGGAATTTATATGCTTTTGGTTATTGATTTACGTTAACCATAACGTCATCCAAGGATTTAACAAAACCTGCAGTTTTTTAAGTGGATAAATGATATATTTATGTCAAGATAGAAATGTTAATCGTCGCCGCTTGTTTATTTATTAAAATACATATGTATTGAAAATGTCATGATTCTAATCTGACACTACAACTCATTCTGAGTTTCCTATCAGTAAATTCGATAAAGCCATTTTAGATATAATGCTTAATGCTGTCTGTTGACAATAGAAATGATTAAGTGAGATGTATTTTAACTTCATCAGGGATAAACTCGTTTCATATTGAAAACCTTGGTGATTCTGTTAAAAAAATCCAATGATACTCAAAATGCTTTTACCCTAAAATCATTTTTTTATGGAAGAACGTTGAAATAGAGTACACCATTTAGAAACTGAAAACGATGGTCTGACTTAATTTTTACATGTTCATTAAAGAATGGTGATGAGGGAAAATGGCAAAAATAATAGAAAACTGTTATATCTTGAATGTTGATTTATTGATATACCGCGGACAACAGAGCATTAGAACACCAAAACCTTTCTAAGTCGCAATAAGAAGACAGAAGACTAATGAAATGAATATTATTCCAAACAGTGTCAATCATAGTACAAAATTGTCAGGTATTTATAGTTTTCAGTAAGAACGAAATCATCATTACAGTCCTCCAATCCGCATACAGGGGCTATTAGCATTATCCAATCGGGAAGCTACACGTAGGATTTGTAGAATATTCTTCCGAAAGGTGATTGGATGTAACATCTTCGGCTCCTTCTGAGCCCCTTACAGCTTCCTCGAGTTCACCCGTAGTCCGTCGTCACAAAAACAAATCCTTTCTGCGTAAAATCAATTTTCTCAAGTTACATAAGGTGTGACAAGTTCGATATATCAAAATATTAGCCAATAAATTGGTCGTTCTTAATAAAGATAATTCTGACATACAATCTGACTAAAATACAGTTTGAAATGATCCCATTGTTGATATTCCTTTTGAAATTGGATCAGCCTTAGTTGGTATGTGTGCATTCTGTGTGGATTACCTCGATATAACTAATGAAACATAAGAAAATATAGAATAGATGGATAAGATGCAGGTGAATTCATGTTGATAAATCCCAAATATGATGAAACGCGTGCCTGAAATTCCACTGGTATCTATATTCTATTTGTTCTATATAAACTTGAATCATATTTACTATTTCAAGGCAGTCCATAATGGCGGAATATATACCAACCAAGGCTGATCAAATTTTGATCACAATTATCAACAACTTGATAATTTGGACAACTTCAAATCTAATTAAATCACATACTCGTAGAATGAGTGAGAGTCTACTTGGACTCCATTGGTGACTGAATAATCCGATGGTGTATTAATCCAATGATATATGTTTAAAATCACGGATTGAAGGTGAAGATCGATATGACAAATTCAAAACAGTAAGAAATACGCATTTTGGATTTCATTCTTAGTTACTTTTCATCTATTCTACATTATCTTTTATTTATGTGTTTGTTCGAAACGAATCAACTATGTCTTTCTCAACAATTATTTAGATTATTGAATATTATTTTTAGTAGCTAACCGTCTGTATTCTTTGATAGTTCCTATGTATTTGACAGGAGATATATTGCCAATTTTTTTTCGGTTCACTATATTTCTATTATGAAGATATATTTTGAATGTTTGCCTAAAACATTTTAAGTTTTTGGAAGTAGTTTATTTAATTTATCATAAAAAATCATTATACTCATGTTGTTGAATTTCGTATGAGCAGAATGTATAAAACTGGAAAACTATATTATATATAAGAATATTATCATTGTATTTATAACTATCCTATCTGAATAATACGTAATCATTATCAACTAATGTAACGATGAAGCAATTAGAATTGTAATTACATTTAGAATCTTGAAAATTAGTACTGATTATCAATTCATTATTAATAACTTTACAAAATCTCGAATGTTTCTCAGTAATTAATTGAAATGTTGACTACATGTGTCAGTTAAATCTAGACCACCATTGAAAATCTAAAAGTACTAGACGACCACTTTCTACGATTGTCTAACTTTAATTAACTTGTGAACTTAACTATTAAATTATTGCAATTTCCACCCTATTTCTTATGTTTTTTAAGTCAATTAATACAGATACAAAGTTAAAATTAAATTTCTATGAAAAAGTAGAATAAAGATGTATGTCAAACAAATCATTAATAAAACATTTTTCAATCGTAGTCTAACATCAATCGGTTCATGATCTCAATAAAAAAAACTTAACAATCTCCACAATCCCTAAACTGATAATTACCATGTGCTCACTAATGAATAGCTTCGTGAGAAAATTCCAGGAGTTCTGGTGAGAAGTCGTGACAAGTGGAGCTAATCAGTGTCGGGTAGAAACAAGGTGTCTACCTCAGTACAATGGAAGATGGTCGCTCAACTTCTTGGATTGGTTGAGGTCAGACATTAACACTATTGGATGCCGGCTCAGTGGTCCAGCAGGTTAAGCGTTCGCGCGTGAGACTGAAGGCTCTGAGCTCGAATCCCGCGAGCGGGATCGTGGATGAGCACTGCTGATGAGTCCCATACTGGGACAAAATGGCCTTGGAGTGCTTTCAGGTTTTCAATGGTGGTCTAACATCGATTGGTTCATGATCAAAAAAACATTTTTGTTTTCTTATAACGTGATAAATTACAAAAAAACAACTGTAATCATTGCCATGAGCAATTTAAACAGATGACTTTAACAAAATTAGTTATTTAATTTATTTGACTTAATATATACTATACTATACTATACTATACTATAAAGATATACTAACCTTTCTTAATAGATTAATTTCATAGAAAACATGATTTTTTTTATTTTTTCATAAAATATATTTTGATTATTTAATTCCTATTGATATAGTTTTTAATATACGATGGCGTAAATTTTTTTATTATAATAAATCAATATTATGAACTTGCATTATATAGAAACTAAGGACAATGATTGTTCACCTATGTAATCATAATAATGTTACCTAGTAACCTAAAATAGATGATTGACTGGATAAATTAAAGAAAGAAAAAGAAACTATGTATAATATTTATTAATTATAACTATTAAATAAACTACTAATCATCAGAATATCATTTGTCTTTTATGTATGTTTTATTATGAAATCTTTATATATATTATATATTAAGTTTTGTTAGAATGAATAATGTTTATTTTATATTTTCATCATTCATTAATGTATTATTGTAGAGAATATTTCTAGTTTACTATATGCAAATAATATTACATTCGCTTATTATAATTGATATTGTTATAGTGAATGATAAAGTTCATATTTGGCATTTGTTATAATTTAAAGGCATCATTTAAAAAGACTAGATTTAATGAAGATTTTGATTTGCAACAGGTAGTTTGGTATATTCTAAAAGTGATACATTCATAGTATATTAAAGAAGTGATATTACAATAAACATTAAATAGCTGTTTTACTTCAGTATGTAACAATAGAGCAGTACATACAACCAAATGTAATATCATATTCACCACCTTGATGTTTATTGGTGAGTCACAGATAAAGAATTCGTTGGATAATTATTTATTCGCACCTTCACTTCTGGTAAAGCACGAATTCTTGACAATTACATTGGTGATTTTGCATGAAAGCCGCTACCTAATTTACATCATTATTAGTTACTTCTGATCATTGAAAAGATCATAACGGAGAGAAAACTGCTATCCGATGCCTTTTCTTATATAAAGTGACTGTTAGTTCTTAACAAATGTATTTTTAAACAAAGTTTGAAGACTCTTTTGAG